GGGTCGAAATATGAAATGCAGCTTTACGTCCATTGGGTAAAAAAGAAGGACGAGATGCACCGCAAGTTTGGCTGCTAAGAAGGGAAAGAGGAGGGAGGGAGGGCGAAGCGCTAAGGAAGGAAAGAGGGAGCGAGAGGGCCGAGCAAGGAGGAAGGAAGGGAGGGAGGGAGGGAGGGTCGAGGGGAAAGGGCCAAGGGAGGAAGAATGGAGAGAGAAGTAAGGGCTGAGGAAGGAGAAGGGAGGGCCGAGGAAGGAGGAGGGAGGGCCGAGGGAGGAGGCAGGGAGGAGGTCAAGCGGAGGTAGAGAGCAGAAAGGAAGTACAGGGAGGAGGCAGGGAGGAGGGAGTGCGGAGAGGACGACGTGAGTAGACGCAGATCAGGCAGAGATCGGACGGACGGAAGAAGGAGAAAGATCACGTGGAGGAAGGTAAGAGAAATGGAGACTCACTTGAGTCAGCCATGCCAACGAAGCGTCCAGTCGACAACGATCAACCAACAATGCGCAGGCCTTCGACCATGGTTTGGCCCAGCCCTCCCAGTTCCACAATAGTAGACAGTAGTACCTCAAGCACACGTTGCAGTAAGCCACGTAGAAGTCCACGTAGCACACAGGACAATCCACGTAGCACCAAGCTCACGAACCACGTAGCGCCAAGCGCACGAATCACCAAGCTCACATAGCACCAAATAGGACCAAAGCCCGAAGCACCTAGCACCGAGGGAGAGAGAGAAAGGGAGGGAAGGAGCCCAAAGCACGTAGCACCGAGAGAGAGAGAGAGAGAGAGAGAGAGAGAGAGAGAGAGAGAGAGAGAGAGAGTAGCAGCAAAGCCGGAAGGTGGTAACACTGACAGAGAGAGAGAGAGAGGGAGGTAGCGGCAGATAGGTCGCCTAGGGAATGGAGAGGGGGAAAGAGAGAGAGAGTACCACCAACGCCCAAAGCACGTAGCACCGCGCACGCGCGCGAGCGAGCGAGAGAGAGTAGCAGCAAAGCCCCAATGTGGTGACACTCTGTGTGTGTGTGTGTGTGTGTGTGAGAGAGAGAGAGAGAGAGAGAGAGAGGGAGAGAGGTAGACGCAGATAGGTCGCTTAGCGAAGTAGGGTGGGCACGTTCGCCAGTGCAGCTAGGTCGACGTCTGGTATCACAGATCGGTAGGATAGGGTAAGCCGCGAGGCTAGGTCGCGTAGAGCAGGTTTGTCCGATAGAACATGCCCTACAGTGAAGTGCACGTAGGTCGCATGAGGTAGCTCACGTAGAGCAGGTGCGTCCGGTAGTGAAGGTAGGTTGAATTGGTGAGCAGGTAGGTCGGGTGGGTAGGTCGGGTGGGTGGCTCGGGCGGGGGGTTACTGTTCAGGCGATGATCTGGGCCCTTCTTGAGAACGGACAGCCTGCATTGAAGGCCGATCAGAAATTTTACTTGCATTTTTATTTTGTTTTGGTAGGAATGTCTTTGAAATACCCCTCCGCCTTTCATTTTTTTTAAGGTATGCTCCTCCGAAGGCCAACTTACCTTGTCGCGCCCCTCTGAAACTATTGAAGTTCCCGAAAAATCCCTGGCGTTGTTTGGGCCTGAAATTTGTACAATATGCCCCTGCTGGTACTAGTTCCAAATTTCCGGTATGGCCCGGCAGCTCCCTTCCCAGGGCCAGGGGAACCGCCTCGAGTGCCACCAACGGCCACAGGGACATGCTGGGAAGTTCCACACCTCACTGACAGGGGCATGCAGGAATCTTCAGACGCCCCAGGGGCACGACAGGGTATGGCGGCCGTCGGAGGGGCATACCACAAACAAATGCAAGTCGGAGGGGCATTTCGAAAAGTTTCCTTTATATTATTTTTCTTTCTGTTGCCTTTTCTGGAAAACTGCTGTCGAACTCTCAGCAGGACGTAAGGGATTCGAGCCCCCGTCTCTCTTTCACCCACGAACAGGAAAGCAAAACACAACAACAGACAGAAGAAACAACACAAAAAAAAACAACACAAAACGTAGAACCACACATCGCATAGCCCAGCGCAACTCGCGCCCCTTGCATCCAACGACCCATAAAGCAGACGTTCACATCGCACGCCTCAGAATCGCCCGCCCACCGGTTTCGTTCACATCCAGCGACCGTCGGCAAGATCTTTCCGGACACAACCCCGCCCGCACACTTCGGACATTGTTGCACATTTCTAACGCGTGCGCCCCACATTTCACTCCTTTGTCTTTTTCTTTTTTTTCACCGTTTTGCGAAATTGCAAAATTTAATCCTCCACAATGTCTAGAACCGCACGGGTTCCACATAGCGGTTTGCATGTGGTGGATTTGAGCATTGGTATGTCCTTCACGCATAAACATAAAAACAAAATAGTAAAAGAAAGGGGAAAAAGACACGCCCCGCCGCAACCAATGCGCTTTGCATCGAACGACTCAATAAAAAGCACACTTTATCATCGTACATCTCATATTCGTCCATCAGTAAACATCCTTCAACTACTTACCTCAAGGACGATTGTCTCGGGTCTCTGCTCCAAACTGTAGAAAATATCACTGCTTTCTTTCCCCCACGTGTGTACTTTTTTTCTATTGAAAAGAACGTCTAATGTGTCATCCCGATGTTCGACGGTCCATGATACCTCATCATAATTGTCAAACAGATAATGAACCTGACTGTGCACTAAGCATTCTTTTCTCATGTCGAGCTCCTTCCTTAGAGCATGATCGTGGGATATTTGAGTTTTAAAGCGCCCAAGCGATCCAGCGAGTGTACGGTTGTTGAATGCTTCCTGAGATGTGAGTGTCATATTGTGAAACTCCTCTCTAGCAAGGAAGAACGTGTTGATTTTTTTATCGTTCACCTTGGCCTCTGTGAAAAGTGTCACAACGGTGGTGTTACGATTCAACACCCGGATTGTACCATAAAAATCTACAAAGATAGGGAACGACAGGTTCGGTTTTCCGAGACAAAACCAAGCACATTGTTTGACGTGTTTCCTATCCTGCCCGGACCATTGCTGCCTTACACACAATGTTTTCACGCGTCAATCATCTCCGTTGGAGTAACAGGGTCTTCAGTATTGTCCTCGCCGTCGGGCTCCACATCGACTTCTTGCTCCAACGAGTACAAGTACCAAAAGTCTTTGCCGTCGTCGCGATGAAGCTCTATGCCGTTGTCTCCCATGACCCAAGACATGGGGATTTCACCGTCCGGCGCGACATTTCGGACAAGGTGCAAATACCGATAGTCTATGCTGACGATATCATTTTCCCATATATTTCTGTCGAGTATTACGAGATCCAAGGCCGGTGTATTTGAATTGTTGGCTTGTGATAAAGTGTCAGTCGATGATGCGTTGTTGTGCGATGCATTGTGGTTGACATTCATCCTGCAATACGAGAATAAACACGACACAAATAATGTAGCATATGTTTCATAATTTGTCACTAACATGCACATATGTCACTGTCATACACATCTTTAACAATTCGCAAGCTTTGACACCCTTCCCTGCCCCCCCTTCCCGTTCTGATTAAGAGGCCATCTCACATCACAAATACGCATAACCATTCCACATGTTTCCTCTTCTATACATTCAGAACAGAAACCCATTATGACTCTTCCCTTGATTCCTTCAACGTCAATGTCATTACCAGCAACACACCTAGTATACAATTTTGACAGGTTTGCCTAACCCATGGGACTGTATATGAATCCCATCAGCGCAGCCAAGCACCATCTTACCACAAAATCGTGTCGTTGACCTACAACCTATCATTCTCACTATCCCACCAACGCACCATCCGGCCGTCCCACTAGCATCAAACTATCAATCATGTGATGACCGAGCTTCGATATGACATCCAATCACCCAATAGTCAAGCGTCTCCACGATGTTTGACAATTCTCCTATGTCACACCCCGTTAAAAATCCTACAACCACACCCTGCTAACATCAAGCCATCCTACCATGACATGGCCGAGCTTCGATATGACATCCTATCACCCAATAGTTAAGCGTCTCCACAATGTTCGACAATCGTCCTATGTCACCACCCTGCACTCTGCTACACTACCATCCCGTCATCGAAGCATTTATGCAACCCGCCATCGTAGCCTTCAGCCATCATGCCATGCTGCAACCCTGCTGATCTGCCACCTTAACATCCCAACCGCCTACCATTGTGCCATTCAACCGGTTGAGCATGCCATCCTACCACACTACGGCCGATCATCCCACCATTTCGCTAACATTTCATCCTGCCATTCGATCTTCCCACAATCCGATGGCTGATTTCGCCATGACACCCGACCACTCTCTGACAGCCTGATGCTCGAGTGTCTTCATGTAAAGTTTGTCCCTGCTTGCTCACGTTGAAGATGAAGTTGTTTTCACAATTCAGGTGAGCAATAAGCAACGAGATTCCCCGTTCATCCGCTGGCAGAGTTGCTTCATACAAATTTTTTTTTTCAACTTTCTCTTTTTCATTTTTTGCACTATTCCTGTAGTGTACACCCAACGAAGTACCTTTGTAGCACTTTGTAACAGCAATGCATGTTCTTTTGCTAATATAAAGCACAATTGTGTCCCTAATCACACTACAAAAGCGCATCACGTGCCGAGATATCCATAATTTTTCATCGTCTGTTTCTTCGTCCCCCAACAGTCTGCTTCTATCGATTCGTGTCGCACAATGTGTCATTCCATGTCGAGCTTCGAAAGCAACACATAAAACTCTTCCTCGTTTACAAAAGCGTGAATCGCATAGCCAGCCAGAACCATAATAAACATTTTTCCATTTACCGATGCCCTCCTTCTTATACATGGCGGCAGGTTCGCATGTGTCAGCCAACTTAAAAAGTTTACGTTGCATCTCCAGTGTCCATAATTCCATTGTCGGGTAGAACATGGACTCGTCCATTGACTGAAAGCCGATAGCGATCATCTTTTACCTTGCCCGATAGGGTATAAGTTCGTCGTACTGGACCACCTTCCCCCACTTATCCGCTCGGCGAAGCCATGCTTGCTCAATGTCCTTTTCCATCAGGATTGCAATGATCTCGCTGTTTTGCAAAACAAATACCATATACGTCAGATGATGCACGAGTCATTCTGCGTATTCAGCACACGTGTTGTATTGCAGTCAGTAACTTCATTGCATTCACATCGTCGCTCTTCTTGTCAGGCGTCCCCGAGGCAGTACTGTACGGTCAGGCGTCCCCTAAGCGCCACTGTATTGTTCCCACATGGTCCGGCGCCCCCGAGGCGACAGTCCATACGAGTGCCCGTCGTTCTCGAGGGCAGTGGTCCAGCGTGTGGCCCTGTGTCTAGGTGTCCCCCGGACGATCGCGCCCAGTGCGAGGCACCAGACACTTGTGTGACCCATTGGGGGCAGTGACCCTTCGCGCCCTGTGTGGGGCGGGGATGCCACCACACAAAACGATGAATGGTCTGGCGGCCCGTGGACGCCGGATCATCGCATGGTATGGCGGCCCAGGGAGGCCGGACGAGCACATGGTCTGGCGGCCCGGGGTCCCCGAAGCGCCGGACCATGCGGAAGTCTGACGTCCCAGAACCGGCATACCATACGATGGTCCCTGAACCGCTGTCGCTTGGTCAGGCGCCCCGGGGACGTCGGACCATTGCATGCCACAACACGGTCCTTCATTATCAGTTGCTGCAACAACACACGGTTCGGCGGCATGAGGTTGCCACCCCATGTGTCCTGTCAAGACGCACAGATAGCATGTAACATGGTTTGAGTATGGATTGAAAACATGCAGACATTCGTGGGGAATCGACAGACGATCTTGTGTCATGCCCACATCCTCCATCATTCTCACCAACGAACGCACGAACATACTGGACCATGTGGCTTCTCCACATCCACCATGCTTATCACCCGCGAACAGACCGACAAACCCATCACCATCGGACGAACCAACGCACTCATTCGAAACATCACGCAAGCACCGCAACGAATACCGCCATACGCGACCCGGGACGACATGGCAGGGCGAGACACGATACGGCACGCCCGTGGCACCGGACCTTCTCGTCATGCGGCCCTTCACACAGTGAAGAGTGAACCATATGATGGCATGGTCCGGCGTCCCAACGACGCCGGACCCCCACGATGGTATGATCCGGCGTAACAGTGACGCCGGACCATATGATGGTATGGCCCGGCGTCCCAGTGACGCCGGACCATACCATCATATGGTCCGCCGTGCCTGGGACGCTGGATCGGCGTGCCCTTCCTCTCCCTCGATCCATGCCATCATAAGCTTCTGCGTCCCCTGGGTGTCAGTCCGTGTATTGCGAACCAACCCACCAACAGGCCAGTCAATATTGTTGTCTGCTAACCCTGGCACATACTATACAATATCATAGGACCTCCAAACGCTCGTCACACCTCAATTTCATTACGCGTCGTTGAATCATTTCAGCACTTGTTAATGTCTACAATTGAAATCGCTTTCTCCGCTGCTGCCAGTGACTCCATTGCCTTCAATGCGTCACTCCTCCTGATTTTCAATCTTGATTTACCTTTCTTTTCACTTTTTCATCCCCATGCCACACTGGTTAGGTGTTGCCACCCTGGCAAAGATTCGTTCTCCACTCGCCAACTTTTGTTCCATGCGTCTTCGTACAACTTTGAGATATCTGTTTTTTTTCCTTGTGGCCTCCAATACTAGACAAGAATTGTATTACAGCCTTGTGACATTTCCTGAACACGTCCTATCCAAAAACTAACCCCTCTATCTACGTACTCGTCCAGAGTGGGCAACACAACAAAACATCCTACTTCAACATGTTGTGTTGGGTCGAATTCAGGCTTTGGGGCATCCTTCTTGAAACCCACGAAACATTGTTTCCTCGGCGGCGAATCAAGTATCGTCAATGACATTTTTACATCTTTGGTTAGTTGTGGCATAGGTGACGACCAGAAATTGGTAGACAAAGGAATAGGTTCTGAAGTGTTTTCGTTTCTCATGTTCTTGAACAACTGTAACTGTGTTTGTCAATACTCAAGCTGACTTGCTTTAAGATGACATTTCCATTCTTCATGTATCCGAAATTGTGACTCCTCGTTCTTCCAGTCCTCTACCAAATCGCTCACACCTTCGTGGCCTTTGATGAAGTCTCCGTTGTCCAAGTTAACTTTTAATCTAGACGGCTGAAATGGCATCGACGGTCCTGCCCATCCCCCTTTCTCATCCCTCTTGAACCAATATATGGGCTCGCCCACTGGCATCCATTCACCGACATTGCAATGTTCTTTGTACACCATAGCAGGGTTCTCCCCATTCATATAAAACTTAAACAGTTGTGTCTTTGAATGACCGTCGATACGTTTGTCGAGATATTCGTTGATAGCTCCTTTCCAATCTGCCATCTCATCGATGAACGTGCAACTTACGTCTCCTTTGTCGGCTTCCCAAGTGCGTCGAACAATTATGGCATGGTGTAAGCATCGGTGTTCGCTAGCTTCCTAGCGAACAAACTAAACTTTGCATCTATGTCTGTGTATGTGTGACCCACTATCATGAATCACAATTCTACGACTTCGAAAATGCGAAACTTAACCAACAATGCGAGGAACGCAAACACGTATCTGTTTTTGTTTTGACTGCCACAGTTATATGTTTGCAGTCGAAAAACTGGAGGCAACCCCCCTGATTGCCTTTGCACGTCTTTCAAGACCCTCGCCACGGATGATACAATCGAATCCGGACCGTGAGGGTAGACTGGAAACCATGTGTGCACAATAATGTGTGAAATCCCTCCACGTGCGAGGATGCCAGTGAGGTTTGTTTTCATCGTGGTGCGGTTGTCCATGGCCTTGGACGTGCGGTTGCGAACTGTATGAGGAATTATTGTTTTTGCTTGGTCCATTCCGTCGATAATTATACACAAGTTTTTGTCTGGCATGAACTTGGATTCCGCCGACCACATATCACAGTGTTCGCGGTGCGCCTTCTGCAACATTCTATGGCGATTGAGTTTCACGATGAGGTCGCGCCTAGCCTCGGGCATTGCCCCTTCTGTTTTGTGCAGTAATCGCATCTAGCATGATCGGTCGATCTAGCTAGGTGAACGTGCCAAAAGAAATCACACCACATTTTTTCGAAAACCTGCAAAGAACAACAGTCTATGCCCTGTTTCTTCAGTCGCCGTTGTATGCTCTCGTACACGTTTATCTTCGTTGCGTACGTGGAAAGCAACCTAAGTCTCGGTCTGACTTCGTAGTCTTTATTCATGTCAGTCTGGTCAGGCATTGCATCAGCCTCTTCCAGTATCAGTGTTTGAAAGGTCTGAAAAGTCATCGCATGGATGACGGATGACGTAGAGTGGCATTGCCTTCCGTGAATGGGCACGACTGT